GGTGCGCACCTGCCCCGCCTCCGCCAGGCGGGCCGCCAGGCCTGAAGCCGGCTGGGGGGCGGGGCTCCGAGGCCAGGACGCGGCGACTGGTTCCCGAGTAGTCTCCGCCAGCTGTACCTTGCCGCGTTCCTGATGCTGCTCGTGGATGCAGATCGGCCGGAGCCCGTGCGCAGCGGGGCGCGCGAGCTCGCGCTCTTCCTGACCCCCGAGCCCGGGGCAGAGGTAGGGGACGGAGTTAGAAGTGGGGGAGGAGGGCCTCGGGGTTGGGGTGGGGGTCCGCGCCCCGGGGGAGGAGTGGACGGATGCGGACCCTAAGAGTGCTGGACCCGCACCCGGACCCTCGGTTTCCACGGAGCATCCTTTCTTACCTAGCCCCAAGGCTCCGAACCCGCACTGGGGGCCGAAGGGCCTCTCCTTTGCCGAGAAGTGGTTGCCTGGCGTCACTCGGAGATGCGCGTCAGGTCGCGCCCGCTCCCTCCTCCAGCCGCACGCCCCCCGGGGGCCCCGCCTCCCATCCCCGCCCGAGACCCTCCAGCATCCGCCGGGACGCCAGTCCGGGGCGCACTCGGAGCTGCTGCCCTCTGCCAGGCTGTGCCCCGAGGGAGGCTGGCCCCTGGTCCTGGTCCTGCCCCTGCCCGGATGCTCGGCCTGCTCTGCTCGGAGCTGTATGCCAGATGCCGGGAGGAGGCGGGCAGGCTGCGTCTGTGCCGGGAAGCGCCCGGCCTCGGTCCGCTTCTGTTGCTAGGAGGGAAAATACCTCGTCTCTGGTTGTACTTGCTATTTTAAAAGCATAGAATAAAAAGTAGATCTAAAAGTAGACATTTTATCTTCCAGCTGAAGCCAGTCTGTTGACAGAGCCGTGAAAAAGTTATTTACCCAAGTTCACCAGGAGTTATTTAAGGCCAGAAATTCAACCCATTCTCTTTTTAAATCTCAAAAGCAGTACAGACAGAAGTATTTAAAATAAGGGATAAGCACCATCTCCTTTTTCTCTCCCACCCCATTTCTAGTTCCCAGAGAGAACCGCCATGAACAGTTTGGTGTATGTCATTCCAAACATATTAGCGATACATTTACAAAGATAGCTCTGCATATATACCACAAATAATACATATTAGTTTTTACCCAAAAAACCCACTTGATACAATATATAATACTGTTCTGTCACTTGCTTTTCTTTCTTCGAAATAGCATGGACGGGGAGTAGGGGAGGGTACAGCTCAGTGATAGCGTGCCTCGCACACACGATCTCCTGGGTTCAATCCCCAGCACCTCCATTAAAGTAAAATAAATAAACCTGATTACCTCCCCCACCAAAATAAATTAAAAATAAATAAATTTTAAAAAGAAGTAGCGTGGACAAATGGGGAATGAGTTGTAAGGTACAGGACTTCTTTTCAGGGTGACAAAAATGTTCTGGAATTAGTTCTGATGTTTGCACAACTTTGTAAAATGCACTGAAAACCATGGAATTGTACCCTTGAAAAGGGTAAGTTTTATGGTATGTGAATTATATCTCAATATTAAAAATAGTGTGGACATGTTTCCATGTCAGAATGCTGTCCAGCAGAAATATAATTTGAGCCATCCGTGTAAGACGTCTATGTAATTCCAAATGTTCCAGGAGCCACATAGAAAAAGGAAAAAGAAACAGATGAAATTAGTTTCAGTACGTTTATTTTTTCAATTTTGAGACATAGGTAACACACAACACTATAAGATTAAGACGTACAAGTTTCAATGTATTTAAAATAAGTGAATCCAAAATATCAGTTGAACATGTCATCAAGGTAAAAAAGTTTAATGAAATTTTTACGTTCTTTTCTTTGAACAAAGTTTTCAAAACTGGGCTTGGAATGTTGAACTTACAACACACCTCAGTGTGGACCAGCCACATTTTAAGCACTTAATGGTCACAGGAGGCTGTGGGCTTCCGTATTGGAGAACGTCGGTCTTCATCACTCTGGCTGCCAAGTATCCTGCAATTACATAGCATTTCTTCTGTTTCCCGAGCTCATACTATGTGCCAGCAGCTGCTGCTCTCTGTTCTTGGGTTATGTCATGGCATCCTGGTGGTGACCCAGGGGTTAGGATGTTATTATGTTGATTTTATAGCTGTGAAAACTAAGGCCCTCACCATGTAAGTGATATCCGAAGGATGTCCTGTAATTTATGAACCATACCTGCAGGGATGGGCATTTAGGGTGTCTACCTACATAACGGTTTAAGGAACCTGAGCGTCTCTCTCGTTCTTTCTCTTCCTTGCTCTCAGCAGCAAGATGTCATTGTGCTCAGTGGCTCAACCTCAGCTTCATTTTGTCTCGATTAAGGACAGCCTTTCAGAGAAACTGCACATATGAACTTCATTTGCTCACTCAGGGCTCTCTTTAACTCAGGCACAGGCTGGCTCATGCTCATTTGTAAGGGCTGTAATGAAGAGCTGAATTCCCTGTAGCTCCACGTGGCAATAAACCCACTTAGAGATCTTGCTGAAGTTTATTTACCCAAAGAAGCAAAAACTGCCAGAGTGGAGTCATTTGGAGCCTCTACTTAAAGCTTAATTCATTAGCAGTTCCCTGTGCTGAAGCTGTTTGCAGATGGGCAAATGAGCTGGAAAAGGGAAGCCTGGTTTGGTACCAGCCCATGTCCTAGGGCCACTTCTGCCATCTAAATGAAGCTGTAGGAGTCTCAGACCAGCCAGCTCTGGTCCTAGGGGGTGTCTTGCGGTTCCTAGAGAAGTGGCCCTGCTTCATTCAATACCTCGAACCCCTACTGTGTGATAACCCCTAGGAGTGTACAGGGAAGGGAAGAGATTCAGGAGGGTGAATGGCAGAGGGACCCAACTTTGTCTGGGAGTGGTCGGGTGGGGGGGCTTCCCTGAGGCAGCATCATTTTAGACTGAGCTCTGAAGCATGAATAGGAATTGGCCAGGCTGAGAGGGAGGGGAAAAAATATCCCAGGCAGGGGAACCAGAACTGGCAAAGGCCCTGGGGTGGGATGAAGCAGGGTGATCCTCAGGATAGAAGAGCAGCAGGTAGAAGGGGAAACAGTGGGAGGTGGGGCTTGTGAGGGGGCAGACAACATGTGGGGGCTTTGCACTGTCTCCCCGATCAGGAGCTGCTGGAGGGCGGTGTGTTGAGATTGGTTGGCAGGGAAGTGTTTTACTATTTCTAGTGCCTTTGGGGTTTTCTGTCCAATCAGCTTTTTTGTGTGTGATTTTCTCTCTTTTTCTGGTTTGAACTTCCTCTTTTGGGGGAAGTTTCAGGCAGGTTCTCCGGAAGCAGCTTCAAGATGGCAGGGGGAGAGAGATGTTTGCCTCTTGGTGGCCCTGTGATTTAGGAGGGAGGGGAGCTCTGGGTCCTCCCAAATGGCTGAGCACTGATAGCCACCAAGGTTGAATTCCTGACCAGACTTTTTGAGAATTCCATTTGGCTCCTGTGCTGAGACACAGGACAGGTTTGGCCCGCAGGTGGGGTCTATGGCCTACATGGAAAGAAGTAAGAAAGCCAGCACTTTCTCACGTCCAGGGTCTTTGCTTGAGTGCACAGAGGATAATGTCGGAGAAAGCACCTGGGTCTTTTAACCACACGTGGATGAGATCAGGGGTTGCAAACTGGTGGCCCAGAGGCTGAATCCAGCACTCTGATGTGATTGGTTCAATTCACTTAGGGGTTTTTAAATGGAGAATTTTCACTAAAAAAATCTGAGTTTCTTGTTTATCTAAAATAATGGACAGTCTGGTAATCCTAGGTCCATGTCTCCTAGTTGTGGTCCCCTGTTTGTCACAGTCCCCACTCCTCCTTATTGTCTCCCTCATACTGAAGCTGGTGTTGTTACCATTTACCTTTGTGCTTGAACTTTCGAATTTTTTGTAGTCAAAAGAGGAAAGGGAACTGTTTCTCCAAACCATGTGTCTGGACTGAAATAGGAAAACATAAATTAGCCAGAGATGCCCTTGGGTTTCAACCAAAAAGAAAATGTAGAAGAGGCTGCTTCTTTGTGGAAGCAAAGACTATTCTATTGTGTCCAGCCTATAAAAACCATGTGCCTGTGGGAACCTGTCCCCTCTCTCCCTGCCCCCAGCATGTGTCTCCCCCTTGTGACCTGCTAGTCCCCTTTCAGCATTCAGGTTTTGGATGTTTGGCTTAGAAGTCTGTGGATGGGTGCCAAGGCACAGTCTACTCAGTCTCAAGATGTAGTTCTGTAGTCATTTATTCCTCAGATCTTTACGACAGACCTGCTGTGGGTCAGGCACTGTGCTGGGCACTTGGGAGGGGCCAGCGAGACAGCTGCGGTAGCTGCCCTCAAGGACCAGCGTTGCCGTTGGGAAGATGAGCAGACTAATGGTGATCTAACAGAGGAGCTAAGGGTGATAAATGCCATGAAGCAGGCACCTGAGGGACTATGGGAGGGACACAGGAAAGATTGGAAGGAACTGCCAGCTGAAGATCTGGCAGCGTGTGTGTGGCCCGAGGCAGGGAAAGATGTGGAGTCAGGAGGTGCCCTGGTGGGCGGACCTCAGTGATCAAGGAGAGAGTGGGCAGGGCCAGACCAGGGTCAAGGGGAGGAGTCTGAATTTGATTCTAGGGCATCATGGGTAGAAGTTGTGAGCAGGGGCCAGCTGGGTGTGAGCAGAAGGATGTGGTCAGACTTGTCGGCTTTGGGCTGCAGAGCCAGGAATGTGTGGGCAGGGCTAGGGTGGCAGCAGAGGGACCACAGATGCTGGCATCCAGGTGGATGTGGACCCACCTGGCCAGGCTCCCTGAATCAGAACCTTCGGGGTGTGAGAACCAAAGCCAAGATGGGTGCTTGGAGAGGGGCGATGTTTCTCAGAAGAAAGCTCCTATCTTTCTCCCCGCAGAACTGCCCAGCCATGAAGGACCCGTCCTTGGCTCTGAACAATCTCCTGTCACAGGACATCTGGGCTTTGGGGGTGGGTCAGCTTGGAGCCTTGGCTAAAGGTTCCCAGTCTGGCTGACTGTCCCTCAGCACCAACCAAGAAGCTTGGAAACGGGTTCCCAAAGGTTGGAGGTGACCCCAGGGCCCACCAGACCGGCTGGTCACATAGCGATGCTTCTGTGCAGCGGGTGGTTCGCGGCTGAAACCTGAGTCAGCACCGAATGCGCCGTTCTGACACCAGGGGAGAAAAGCAAGATGCACAGAGCTGTACGTGGTGCAAATAAAATCTTTAAAGGCAAAAAACAAAAAAACAAAAAAAAAAACACCTATTTAGGGAATTAAATGAGATTGTTCACTGGGACTAGGGTGGGGTTGATGGATATAGCCAAAGTCAGATCATGATTCCCAAACTTTGCCAAACATTGGCTTCAGCTGGGATCTTCAGAAATTACTGATGCCTGGCTCCCAGCCCTGGATACTCTGATGTCTTGGGTGTGGGTGCCATCTGGGCACTGGGAGGCTGAAAGCTCTCCAGCAGTGTTGTGAGCCTGGGGTGCCCTGGCTTGTGGAGTGACTGGCCTGTTGGAGAATCACTGTGACTGCTGACTGGTAGGGACACCCATGGGGCAGCCCAGGCCTGGGGATCTGGACTGGTAAGCACCCTTCTGGAGATTCTGATGGCCAGCCCGGTGGGGACCACACAGCTCCCATCAGTGCAAGTGGGACCTGCCCCACATCCAGGAATGCCCCGTTTCCAGCGGTCCTTCCCTCTGCTCTGTCCACAGCACCTGCTACTGAGTGACTGTATCCGTTGAAGCAGCATCCTTTACGATGTGTGCACCCTCTACCCCCTCCTGCTCCTGGTCGGGCTGAGTGGTGGGAGGTAGGGCTTTGGAGCCACATGGCCCAGGTTCAGATCTCCGCCCTGCACGTGGGCCCCTCTCTGCCTTGTCCCCTCCTTCATACGGCGGCTGTGGGGTGAACTAGGTGACCCACGGGAAGCACTTGGCTCAGGGTCCGGCCTGGAGTAAGCAGTCTGGACACACGAGGTACGACGCCTCGTCTACTGGTTCTGCAGCTGTGTACTGAGTAGGTAGTAGGCGCAGACACTGTGCCAGGCGCCGGGTCGTACGGCTGCATGAGAGGCATGCCTGCCCTTAGGGCTCTTGGAGCAGGTGGGAAGGTGGGTGTGACACGTGCTGATTGTTCTGCATGCTGTTTGCAAGAGGAGATTTCAGCCCTTCACTTGCGCTGAAGATTGCGAATTTCCTCTAACACGGCCTAGGCCGTGTGGGCCTGGAAGCCCGGTGTTAACTTTCTGCGTCTGTGGACGCAAGACCAACCAAAGATTCCGATTTTTGGTTTGCAAATCATAGTTGCTACGCGCACAACCCAGACGGACCCCGGTTCTCTTCAGCTGTTCTTGGGGTCTGAATTTATTTGGTGCAGCTGTGTTGGAAATTTGGCCTGTGAGTTCTTTTAAGTGAATTGGAGTTAAATTTGCTTTTAAAAGAAGTTTCATTTAAAAAATTTTAAACGTATGCACATGTGACAAAATCCAAAGGTCCCTCCTGGTGGCCATTGCCGAAGGGTGAGGCCCGGCCCCGCCCGCGTCCGCAGCCCCCTGCTGCTCTGCATTGGCCGCTGCTGTTCGCACCTGTGTCCCCTCCACCCGCCTCTCCTGCATCATACTTTTTCCACTCAATACGTCTTAGACAGCTTTCCATATGAGTGCACAGAGAGCTGGCCAATTATTTTTAGCTGCCAAACAGTCTCGTTGTCGGTCTGAACTATAACTGAAGTAGCCGTCCCTCCATTGATGGGCATTGAGTTTAGGTGGATGCTTTTGCTGTCACAAGTCTGTTGCAATGAGTATCCATCTCTGTACGTATGTCATTTCGCGTTGGTGCAAGTGTGTCTGGAGGATAAATACCTCATGGGGGAATTACTGGGTCTAAGGATACCTGCTGTTAAAATTGTAGCTGCTGTTCCCACATTAGCCTTCTTACAAGTCAGGGTCAGGGCGAGTGTAGACTGGTCAGTCCTCGCTTGTCACTCAGACCTCAAGGTCAGGGGTCCCTCTGGGGCCAGGCTGGGAACTCTTTTTTTTTTTTTTTTTTCCTTCAGCCTGCTGTAAGATTTGTTTGGCCATCATAGGGGTTGTTTGTTTGGGTTTTTGGCATGCGCAGCCAGGCAGCTTGGATTGGCATTTTGGGAGAAAGCAGGGGCTGTGGAAGAAGGTGGTGAAGGCCATGATTCCTGCGTGATAAAAAATGCCACCTGCCATCCCCACCGGCCATGCCCTGAATACCACTTAAAGTGAGTCATTTGTTGCCTTGCCCTGGGAGTGGGACAGGTTCTGTCCCGGGAGTTGCAAAGGATGCTGAGGGCCCTCATTTTCCTTAGGGGCTGGTTAAAAAGGCATGTAGGCTGCAGCCTAGAGGACTCTCATTTCTGAGGCCACTTAGGGGATTATCTTGAGAGAAAAGTGTCCTGTGTATGATTTGTGGGCAGAGTGAGGTGGCTCACCCTTCCTGGTGGTTCACCCTTCCTGGTGGTTTTGGGAAAATCTTGGGACTTGTTCTTCGCTTAGCTTTTCAGTCAGCAAATACTTTCTTTGCTCCCTGCTGGCTTTGGGGCACCACCTTGGGTACCAGGAAGAGCTGGTGGTGGGGAGACCATAGTCGATAGGCAGCAATAAAGGGGGCATATTTCCCCCTTCCCCAAAGAGCATCTTGGTGTTTACAAACTTCTGAAGTCAGAGAGGTCAAATTTTGGCTTCAGTATTTATTAGCTGTGTGACCTTGGGCAAGTGACTTAAGCTCTCTGGTTGTCTGTTCCTCAATCCATACATAGAAAGGGGGAAATTATAGCACCTACAGTATAGAGTTCTTGTGAGAATCAAGTGAGATAATCCATGTAGAGCGCTTAACCATAGTTTCTATGATTTAGTGACAGAGATACATATAGCGACCATTTATCTGTGCCTCCCATGTGGCGGCACTCTATTAAATGACTCAGCCATGTCTGTCATGTGAGGTTACCCTAACAACTCTGCCAGGTGGGAGTGGCCATTCCTGTCACAGGTGAGTCAACCCAGATGCCCAAGTCAAGCCACTGGGTTAAGGTTACACAGCGGGCCAAGGAGAAGATGAGATTCGAAGTCAGGACTAACTTCTTTGGTGAACATGCCAGGATAGGTCGAGAGGCTCTTCCTGTGAGCAAAGAGCTTCATGTATGTCTTGGGACAGAGGTAGCCTAGCCGGCTGGGGCGTGGTCCCTCATGTCCCTCTGCCGGGTTTTGTCTTCCTAAGCTGGTTTGGGCTGGGGTCTAGATTGTCTACACCTTTGCTCCATCAGCCATCTGTGCCCTTTCGCAGCTCTCTCGCTTTCCTCTGGATCAGGAGAAAGGACCAACCTCCCCCTCCCACCTCAGTGGCTTCTCGGCAACGTCTTTCTCCCTTAGTGCATTAAGGACATATTTCGGCCACAATTTTACTTTTGGGGGGTGGGAGGGGGCCTTCCTGTGTGTTTCCAGTCCTCCCTCCACTGTGGTCCCCTTCGTCTGACAAGCCTCCCCCGGTCAGGCACAGAAATAGTCCCAGCTGTGAGTGAAGGTTCCAGCGTTTAAAATTGCAACTTGGTCCTATTTATACTCCAGCCGGAAAGACCTTTTTTTTGTGCAGCCGTTTATTTTGTTGTGGTAGCGACGGCTAGGGCTGCAGGCCGCCCGCTTCTGCACTGTGTAAACATGCCTCCAGAACAAGTGGGTGGTGAGGGCGGCCTTCAGGTGTCGGGGGCAGGTAGCACGTCTGCCCAGAACGTCTAGGAACACCTCCCCGGAGCAGAACAACTTGGCCTGGTGAGTCAGAGAAGGTGGTCCATGTTCCAGGCAGACTTTCTTCCTACATGCTTGGTAATTAGGAAAAAAAAAAAATACAGGTGTTTTATAAGTCATGAAAATAATATATGCTTGAGCTGGGGAAGGGTCCAAACTCATTTTTACACAAGTGCTTATAGCAGGCAGACCCTTCATGTTCTGTTTTGCTTGACCCATGGAGTATTAAAAAAAAATTTTTTTTAATTTGTTCCACTATTTAGAAATGGGGCCATTTTCCATAAAGCTAGAATTTCTGGCTTCTCTTGAAAATGGAAGGTTCTGGCAACCCTGGGCTTCCCTTGCCTGCTGGCTGCTAGTGACCGCTCTAGAGCTGGGCAGGCACTCTGCAGGTCACCTCAAGCCTCAGTGGCCTGCTTCGTTCATTTACCTGACAGCCTGGCCTTGATAACTTTTGAGTTTGGGATCCTTCACATAATTAAAACATCCGAGGCTCCCTTGTCAGACCACGGTCCCCAGTTCCTGTGCCCCAGGGCTACGGAAGCGTGATTGACAGGGTTTTCCAGGTAAACTACAGGACCCCTAGCCAAATTTGAATTTCAGATAAACAACAAATATGTTTTTAGTGTAAGTATAGCCCCTAAGCGCCAGCAGTTCGGCACGTATCCTCCCCGCCTTTCTCTGTCAAAGCTCGCACATTTCTCAGTCCTGTCACCAGAGTGGTTTTTTATTCTACATCTTCTACAGTTTGCTTTTTCTCTCTGGGGTGTTTCTCAGGAGGCACTTCTTAGTGTTTGTAAGAGCAGACTTTGAGGTTGTAGACTCAAACCGATGTGGGAATCTAGGCCCCAACACTTGTTAGCTGTGTGACCCTGAGCAGGTTACCTTACCTCTCTGAGTCTCAGTTTCCTCATCTGCACGATAGGGGTGAGAAGGGTAGCTTTGTTATTTCCTGTTAGTATTTATTTATCTCATCTCTTTCAAGAGCTGCCTAGAGTGGCTGGTCCACGGCGGCTTCAACCAGGGAGGTTAAACAGAGGTGCCCACAGGCATCACGATTGCCACCAGCATATATCGCCATTTCAAATGAGGCTACAAGAGGTTTGGAAAAGGGAAAGTCGGTCTGGAGGGAACTGGGCAGATAATCCTAAGATTTAGTTTGCTTAAAAAAAAAAATGAAGGACGTTTGTCTCCCTGGAAACCACTTGCTAATCTCCAGGATTTGTCTCTTTTCAGGCGAAGGAGGTGGAGGAGACCATCGAGGGGTTGCTCCTCAGGCTGGAAGAGTTTTGCAGCCTGACTGACATGGTGAGTGTCTACCCGGGAGGCGTGGGCTGAGGCCCAGGCCGGGCTACAGGGTCCTCCTGGGCTCTCCTGGGAAGCCACCTTGGTGGTGGTTGAGAAGCGGGAGGAGTGGGGCAGCGGCCGGCCGTGAGGGCGAAGCCAGGCTCCCTCTCCCTCTCCACACCAAGGCTCCCTGAGGCGGCCATCTTGGTGACGCCCTTCCCCCGAGATGTTCTGATTCCACAGAGGAGCCAGGAGTGGGCCACCAGGTGGCACTCTCGGGCACCGATGCGGGGAGCCGTTCAGCGGGGATGCTAAGACTATATTTAACTTTCCTCACTCTGCGCAGTTCGCCAGGCAAACATGGAGACGGCCAGGAAATGGCTTCAGACCTGGGAGGCCTAGGAGGAGCCTCTTGGCCAGGCCCCAGCCTGTGGCGGGGTTGGGCATGGAGTGCCTTCCCGAAGCCTTTTGCTCTCCCTTCTCTGGCCTCCCATCCTGTTCTGCTGGATCGGATCCTCTTGGCTGGGTGGGGAGGAACGTGGAAGATGGTGCCTTGGGTCTGGAAGACAAGGTCTCCACTCCAGATTCTCTAGAAATCTCCCTGGATCCATGTGTCTCCAGGATTAAGACAGGAGTAGGGCCCCAGGGAGCCCCTGATAGAATTTTCTGGAAGGTCCAAGCTTATGAAAGGCAAACCAGCCACCAGGGTTGGTGGCTTCTGGAGGCCCAAAGGGTAGACAGAGCTGCCTACTGGGACCAGGCCCTGCCTCTCCTCGGAGCACAGGAAGCCCAGCTGGACCGAGCAGTGCAGATTTGTGCCAAGTGTCTGGAGAGATGTTTGTGAGAGCCCCAGGGAGTAACGTTTATTGAACATCTACTTCTAACAGACACGGGGCAAAGTGTTTCCCAGTCCTCTCATTGCACTTCAGAGCAGCCCGACACAGTGGGCATGACTTTATCCCTGTACACTCCACAGACATCTGAGCATCTGCCTGTGCCAGCCCCCAGGACACTGCAGGGAACAGGACACAGCCGTTCCCACAAGGACCTGTGTGTGTTTTTCTCTTGAGAGCCAATTTTTTAGTTCAGATGTGGGTCCAGGTGGGAGCCAGGTGACAAGACTGACTTTGAACAGCCTGAATTGGCCTTTCTTCATCACCAAGCATCAGGCATCTCCTCTGACTGGTCCCTTGGTGAGCCCGAGGCTGCAGAGAGAGATTCATGTGTCTCCATCCCCCTGAGCCCCCAGGCTGTCCAGAAAGCCCGATCTGTGTACCAGCCCGTCATCCAGGGTCAAAGTGTTGTCCTCGAGGGGAGCTCCAGGTGGAAAGCAGGGCTGCAGAGTTTCTGAAAGAAGAAGAAACTGGGCACATAATCCTAAGACTCAGTTTGCTTTAAAAAAAAAAAAGGAAAGAAGTGAAGAGCAGAGATGTTCAGTTCTGTCTGGGAAATCAGGAAGGCTTTGCAGAATAGGTGGTGATTCATTTGGGATTTGAAGGACGAACAGGAAGAATTCAACTGCTGGGGAGGGCGGGCTTCCAGGCAGAGGGACTGCCCTGCAGGTGTGGCATGTTAGGCACAGGGTGACAGTGAGGACCCATGGCAGGGGGCTGATTGGGAAGATGACATGGCCTGGTGACCCTGGGACATCTGTGTTCTCAGGTCCCAGCCCATCCTCCTCCTCCATCCATCTACCCAAGAGGAGCACTTGGGGCAGGAGTCAGCTTGGGTAGACAGAGAGAGGCCCAGGCCCCACTTGCCTTAAAAACTGTCCAGGCTTCCCATGGTGGGCAGTGTGTGTGTGTGTGTGTGTGTGTGGCCAGGAAGCCCAAGACTGCAGGCAGCATCGAGAAGGTCCTCCCCAAACTCCAAGCCTGGAGATGCATTTATGCAAAGATTTTAATACTGAGGTCACAAGATGACCCACGGGCCCAATCCTGCCTACAGACACGTTGGATGTTTCTAGGAAAAAAAAAAAAATGAAATGAGCTGCTGACATTTATAGAATGTCATGCAAAAAAAAAAAAAAAAAAACCTGGATTTCTGGCTGCTCATGGAAAAGCAAAGATCTGTCCCCCACCCCACTCCTGCCTTGGGTGCTCATTCTCCCCTGGCCAGCATCAGCCAGGGCTGCACAGTGGCCACCCCCTGTGGAGAGCATACGGGCTCTCCAGCTCGTCACCCTCCCCACTGTTTCACACGGGAACCTGCCTGACTCCCTGGCCGCCCGCCAGGTGTATCCCTCAGGCGCGTGCGTTTTGTGCTAGAGTATGTTTCTCTGTACGTTGGGCCCTACTGGAGGCAGGCAAATATGAACCAGACTGAGAGGGTCCCCTGTTTTAAGAAATGGAAGAGAGTGCACTTCCATGGAAGTGAAGACGCTTTCTATGTATTTATATGCAAATGAGCGTGTCTGCATCAGCCTTGGCATGCACCTAGGGCCATGCTTGTGGCCCCTGGAGGCGTTTTGAGTTTGCAGTCGCTCCAGTGAGGCCCTGTGCTAATACCATTTAGATTACGGCAATCCTCTCGGCCCCAACAGCTGGCGCCTAGCCTACCCAGTGTGTCTGCGCCCAGGTGCCGTGGACCGCATGGCACAGAGAGAGCTGTCCAGCTGTTGGCCCTGGCTTGGGACCTCCTTTTGTCTTTTGATCCAAGCTCTGGATGAGTGGGGACGTCTGGGAGGCAAGTGATGTTACACCATGGACCACTGTCCCCGGGGCCCTGATTTGGCCTTTGGAAACACTGATCAGGTTAGAGGTCTGAGAGAAGCCAGGCTCCCTGGTGCACAGTCTGGAGAGAACACTTCATTTATGATAAAATCAGGCTCTTAGAAATGAGACTCTAGCATCCGGTCTGATGTATCAGCTCCTCTGCCAGTCTGTCCTGGGTCACTCTGTGTGACCAGCATTCATCACCCTGTGCTCGTGACCTGTTCTGACCTCAGACATAAGGCCACTTGCCATCACTTCAAGCTCTGACTCTTCCCAGTGTGGGGCCTTGGGCCCAGCAGTTCACCTCTCTGTTCCTTTATTTTCTTCATAAAACAGAGATAATGGTTCTGATTATCTATTGCAGCATTAAACTACCCCAAAACTTAGTGGCATAAAACAACCACCGGTTTATTATGTGGGTCAGGAGAGGGCGCAGAGCGCACAGCTCATCTGAGCTACATGGCACCTGCCGGGATGGGGATGGCCAAGGTAGTTCCTTCCCTCATTTGTCTGCTGTCTGGGCTGGGCAGGCTGGAGAGCTGGGGACTGGCTGGCATCTCTCCTTCCTGCAGCCTCTCCTTGTGGCCATCTTGGGCTCCTTCATGGCATGGCGGCCTGGCCTCCCACAGCAAGCGTTCCAGAAGACAGGAAGTGGGAGTCTCTGGGGGCTTGGGTCTGGCAGTTGACCCAGTGTCATCGCTGTTGTCATTTTACTGCTCAAAGCAGCCACACAGCCCACCCAGATCCAAGGGGAGAGGACATAGACCCCCACCTCTTCATGGAAGGAGTGTAGACAATTTGTGACCGTCTTTCATCCACTGCGAATGGTACCCATCTCCAAAGACTTATCATGAGGAATAGACGAGGCTGGGATGTACCCTTTACATCCACTAGAATGGCCAAAGTGAAAAAGACAGACAACAGCAAGTGTGGGCAGAGATGTGGGGCAACTGAAACTCTCCCTCATGGGCCAGCGGAGATGCAGACGGGATGGCCACTTCGGGAACCATGGCAGTTTCTTGTAAAGCCAAACACACGCTTAACCTACATCCCAGCAATTCTAATTCTAGATAATTGCCCAAGAGAAATGAAAACAAGCAGCCACAGAGACTCGCACACAAATGTTCGCGGCAGCTTTGTTCACGATGCCCCAGACCAGAAACAATCTCGGTGTCCGTCAGCCGTAGACGTGGGTGAACGCACTGTTGTTTAGTCACCCCCTGGAGTGCACAGCGATGGAAAAGCTTCATCTGTACACAACAACGTGTGTGAGTCTCACAGACGTGCTGCAGAGGGAGGGAAGCCAGACACAGGAATGCTCCCTGAGTGCAGCATAGTCACGTGAAGTTCTAACAAAGGCAGAACCAGGCCGTGGTGATGGAAGTCAGGTAGCGTTTAGCTCTGGGAGGGTGGTCATGACAGGGAGGAGGCCTGAGGGAGCCTTACGGGGTGAGGGGACAGTCCATACAGTGGTCCGGGGGGTGTGTTCCATAGATGGAAACACACGTACCAGCTCATCAAGCTGTCCACTGAGGCCTGGGCTCTCTACTGTGTGTCATTTACACTCAGTTAAAAATAATTGCTTAGCACAGTGCCTGCTATGTATTAAGTGACCCATAAACAGTCGCTCCTGAGGCCATCAGCATCAATGTCACAGCACGGAGGGCTGTGCCACCGATGAGGTTATCCACCGAGACTGGATCATAAGGCCTTCCCGCTCCGTGCCCTCTGGGGTTGGGCAGCTTGTCTGGGCCCTCAGACACCAAGTGGCCTCAGGCCCACCTCCTGGCAGGGAGCGGACTCTTCCCTCGCTCACATAAATGGAGAAAATTTCCTGTTGGCCTCAGCCCAGCAGTTGCATTTGGCATCGGAGTGTGTTCTTGGGTCAAGTGCATTTGGCTCTCCTTCCTGGGGGCCCTGCATCATCCTGGACAGTCTTTGCTCTGTGATAACCCTGTGTCCACTGCCCAGACTTCTGGGCTCCAGGGACGAGCGCTGGGAAGCGGGGAGAACAGGCTGGGGAAGGGTCTGCCCGGCCCCCAGGCCGATAACCCTGGCTGGAGGTCCATCCTGGTTGAGGTTCAGAAAGCATTGATTCCTCACCTTTTTGCTCCTCTCAGTAGCATGCAAAAGCACAAACTCAGATGCCTGTGATGTGATGATGTAAAGCAGTTTGGGTGTGAGAAAAGCAATGTGTCACTTTCCTAAGAATCTCTTGTAAAAGTGCACAGGGTGCATGGACGCCATGTTGGGGAGACTACGGAGGGGTGGGGACTATGGTTAACCAAAGTGAACAGCTGTCACCCAGCTCCAGCTGATCATTGCCACGTGGAACATGGGCTCAGTGTGGTTGGGTCTTCTGATTTTTCACAAGAAGCCAGAAATCTGGGTTCCTAAAGGAAATATCCTTAATTTTAGATCTTGGCACCTAGCTTGGTTATACTTTGGGGTTTCTTAGACATGATGCAGGCTGGCTCTGCTCGGGCCCGATAAAACGTGTCTGCCGACCTCTGGTGTTAGCGGGTGGCCTGAGACCCACCCGGATTGGAATCCTCCATCTTCCACTTTGAAGCTTTGCGACCTTAGCTAGCTCATTCAGTTTTTCTCAGTTTCATCACCTATAAAATGAGGTTGAAGATAAATTAGTTCCCGCACCACAGGGTCTGTTCCCGGCGCATGACGAACACCCATGGGGTGTTGGCGCCCTGCCCCTCCTCAGCCGACCCATGTGAAATACCCTGACCTTTGCCTTGCGGTTCCCAGCTCACGGGGGAGCCAAGAGGAAGGTTTGGGGGGGGGTTCAGACCCTAAGAACTACCACCCTTCTATTTACCACCCCCACCCCCGCCCAGGTACCTGGAGGCTGCCTTCTGGGCAGGAGAAGCCTCTGCAGAGAGGGGCTTTCTGGCTCCGCCCACAGACCCTCTGATCCTCCAGTTCCTTCGGATTTGGAGGGAGGCGGGGAGCGTTCTGTGAATCTCCTCTTGACAATGTTCCCTTCACCCCTGTGGGTTGCTAAGGCCAGTCCCTCCTGATTCTCCCTTGTTCTCCCCTATTTGTTTCTTTAGAAATGAACAGAAGGAAAAGTTCTACATCTGCTGTACTGTGTTCTGACCTTGCCACAAATTTCTGTTCTTCGTTGCATCACAGCAATTCCTGAGTTTAGCCTTGTTGAGTGATAGGCTTCTCTAGAAATTTGGCCTGGGGGGAAGCCGTGGAGGAGACTGCGCACTGTTCCCTCTCCCAGCGGACAAATGCAGGTGCCTGCGGGAGCCAGGCAGGGTATGGACATGAGTGAAGGGGGCGTGGGTGAGGCACCAGGGGCGGGTGGTGACTGTGCAAACCACAGTGCTCACGCCCCAGCGGGGAGGAGCAGCTGCTGCTCAGCCCGGCCTGCGGTGCCTGGGAAGACATGGGCCCAGCTGGATGAAGCTGCTGACTTTTAAGAGAAATTATAAGTCTGTACTCAATCACTTTAATATTTTAGAACTGTATTTATGTATTTTATTTTGGTATAGTTTTAGAGTTACAGAAAATTTGCAAAGATAGTGCAGAAAGTTCCTGTACACCCTTCATTCAGTTTCCCCTGTGGCTGACATCGTACATCCCCTTGGCACCTTTGTCAAAACTAAGGAACCAACATTGGCACGTGGCTACTCACCAAACTCCACACTCAATTTTGATTTCTCCAGCTTCCCATGAACATCCTCTGATCCAGGATCCCATCAAAGACACCTTGTTGCCTTAAGTCATGTCTCCTTAGGCCCCTCTAGTCTGTGACAGTTTCCTTCTTTCCTGACGTTTCATGTCTCTGGCAGTCGTGAGGGGTATTTGCCTGGTGTTTTGTAGAAGACCCCTCGATTTGAGTTTGTCTGATGCATTTCTAGTGGGTACATGGGGTTACGTGTTTCTGGAGAGAATGCCCGGAGGTGAAGTGCCTTCTGATCACAGCATCTCAGGGGCACATGACACCCCCATGGCATCACAGGGTTGGTGGCCTTGCGTCAGGGTGGCATCACCGTCTCCCCCGTCTAGAGCCCGTTCAGTCACTTGCTCCTGTCACACTCATGTACTTTTATTTCACACTCGGGGTTATAGTCCAGTGTTACATTGTTTTATTATTCAAATTGTCCTCGTTTTGACCATTTGACTTTTTCAAGTTGGCTTTTGTGTTCCTTTGACATGCCTCATCCTTCATTGTTGTTATTTTATTTATTTATTTATTTATTTATTTTAGCATTTTCTTACTTTCTGGCACTACAAGATGCTCCAGGCTTTTATATTTTCCCTGTCCCAGCCCTAGAATCAGCCATTTCTCCTCAGAGCCCCTCTTGAATTTTGAAGTTGGAAATTAAGTCAAATTTAAAAACTTAAACACCTTGGGGGCCACATGCAGACACAAGTGATCTTTTTAACTCCCTGAAACATTCTTTCAGGAGAAGCACTTGTCTGATCCCCATTTTACAGATGAGGAAACTGAGGCCCAGATAGGTCACAAACTGAGGCCAGGTGGCCTGTTGCCAATGCTGCCTTCTCAGGGCTGCCCTGTGACACCATGAGGTCAGGGCACGGGAAGGGAGTGTAGCTCGGGACAGCGGGCTTGGAACCACTGCCCAGGGAGATGGCAGTGCCCTGACCAGGGGAGGTGAACCAGAAGGGGAAGAGTTCGGCTTTAGACATGCAGGCAGTGGGGTGGCTTCTGGGAAATCCTGCCCCCCAGATATTTAGTTTGGAGCTGGTGTTGTCAGCTGTTTGAGGGGAGCAACTAATTTGTGGTTCAGTAAATAATACTTAGGTGGGTCTGGGTCCCGACAGACGGTGAGGTTGTCCCCACCTGGGGCTCTGGGTCATCCCTGGGTCATTCTGGGTCTCAGCCATCAGTGGGGTCTCTGCAGAGCCTGGCCAACCCTGGGGCAGGCCAGAGCATGTGATGACAGGGCAGAGGGCCTGATGAACTGCCTTGTGCCTTGCAGATCAGGAGCGACACTTCACAGATCTTGGAGGAAAACATCCCACTCCTTAAGGCCAAGGTGACAGAAATGCGTGGCATCTATGCCAAAGTGGACCAGCTAGAGGTGAGTTCAGGAGAATGAGCTCTCTTTGTGACATTCATGGACTTATTCTGGCTCTTTCATCCTCTCTTGCAAGATGCTGATCTGGCCTTGATAGTGTCAGGCCTGAGACCCAAAGGAGGGGGTTGGTGGCCAAAAGGGACCTATATGGTATTTTAAAAATATGACAAATGTGAATTAATATAACATATCTCATTTAAAACTCTGGGTACTTTATGTAAAACTGAATTGTAAGCTCCTTTTGGAAATTCAGAAGCTTTCATAATCCTGGGCCCATTTTTCTTTATATGTTTTAATCTGTTTATTTTTTAAGGTATAAATACATCATGTGCACACATCATAAGTGTACAATTCAGTGAATTTTTACGTATATAAACTCCCAATGTGAAAATGACCCCAAATGAGAAATAGGACATTTCTCCCCCTGGGCTGTGTTGTGGTAGAGCTGGCGGCAGCTGCTCCTCAGGCAAGGCACGTGCTCTCCAGTTCACCACAGTCCCCACCGTGTCCTATTGCCTCACTGCCGACATGTTTCATCTGCCTTTTACCTGAGTGGGCACCAGGCTGAGATGCATGGCATCTCGTTTCCTCTGCTGCACGGCCAAGTTGGCACCATCACCGTCCGGTCTCCCAGAGCAGGAGCATAAACTCTGAGAGGTGAGCCCCATCCCCAGGGTCACACAGCTAATTCCATGAAGCTGGGACTTCAATTCACATGCACCGGAGCCCAAGCTCTTAATCAAGCTGGGTTTCCTTAATCAAGCTCCTCCACCTGAAGGACCAGGAGCCTGGAAGGAGCCTGGGGTTTAATAGCGGTCACCTGGCCAGAGGGGACATGCGCCCCTCCGAGCTGTGGGGGCAGGGAGCACCGCAGTGGGCGCTGGAGCTGGCAGAGAATTAACATTCTTGTCAGCAGAGAATGAGGCAGGAATCTAATTAAAACTTTGCCCTTGGAATAGCTGATTCATTTGAATTTTATTCCACACGTTTGAAAGAGGAAAGAAAATGTGAAGATTTGTAGCCCTCGTTCTTGCCTTGCTTCTGTTGGCCCCACTCAAGCCGTTTTTTTCTTTAGCATTCAGCCCAGTACATCCAGTAACGTTTACTGAGGGCCTACTGTGCGCCTGTGCGGGGCTCTCCCGGTGAGAGAGTCCGTGGCCTCAGTCCAGCCGGGAGAGACAAGCCACAGCGCATTCCCATGGTCGTCTCCCGTGGCGGCTCGGACCAGTCGCCACAAACCTAGCGGCTAAGACAACACGGATTTATCACCTTACAGGGCTTGAGGTCAGAAGTCCAGAATGTGTCAGCGGGGCTGGTTCCTTCTGGAGGCTCCCAGGGGGAATTCGTGTCCTGGCCTTTCGCGTCTTCTGGAGGCTGCCTGCCTCTGTCAGCTCACGGCCCCTCCCTGCATCTTCACAGCTCACAGCAGAGCGGCTTCCAGGCTCTGTCCACCCTGACACCCCTCCCTCCATCTTGTCAGGGTCCCTGTGATGACACTGGGCCCACCTGGACAGTCCAGGACAGTCTCCTCAGCTCAAGATCCTTAATCCCACCTGCAGAGACACTGTAGGCCATGGAAGGGAACGTATTCACAGGTTGTGGGAATGAGAATGTGGGTGTTTGAGGGGGAGCACTGTTCTGCTGACCCCAGTCACCATGGGTGGTTTAAAGTGAGGCAAGTGCCCTGGAGGGAAGTAGACTGAGGAGTGCAGCCTACAGGCCCTGGGAGGGAGAGCGGGAGGGGTGCGTGGGGGCGGCTCGGGCAGAGGCTCAGAGGTGGGAGGGATCTCGGCTCTGGGGTTGGAGGGAGGAGGTGAGGACCCTGAAGGACCTGGGATGACCAGATTATAGGGACAAGGGGGCCATGACCCAAGCAGGGCTGGAGGAATTGGGCAGAGGTGTCCTGTGGTCTAGGCCTTTTCCCTGAGGAGTAGGAAGCCACTGAACAGACCAGATGGCCCAGGGGTTGGGAGCTGGAGCCCAAGAGCAGGCCATCTCAGTGCTGCTGGCACTCTGGGCCTGAACTTCTCTGTGGTGGGCCTGGCCTGTGCATCATAGGATGTTTAGCAACATCTCTGGCCTCCACGCACAAGATGCCGGTAGCACCCACCCCCTTCCCCCGCGTTGTGACACCAAAATGTCTCTAGATGTTGTCAAATTGCCCCTGGTTGGAAACCTTAGGTGTAGAGTCCTGCTCCCTGGGCCCAAACCCTGACGTGCCCTCTTCCTAGTGTGTGACCTCCGACAAATTCTGAGCCTCAGTTTCCCTATAAAGTAGATTAACAATTGTGAGGTTCTTGAACCCAAATTTCATCAATATTTATTCGACGGACATCTACTGCATACTTTCTATGGGTTGCCCTCAGGTGGGTGCTGGGAACACAGCTGGGGCAGGACTCCTGGTCCCCTGCTGGTGGCCTGCAGGGGACGCTGGACAAGGAGGCACCCACAAAGCAGCAAGGACCTGACCAGACCTAGAACAGAGGCAGCTTCTTGCAGGCAGGACCTTCATACTAAGGCCTGGAAGATGGAGCCGTCAGCCTGGGAGGGAACAGCTTGTGCAAAGGCCCGAGGGCCAGAAAGAGCCAGGCCTCTCAGGCAGTTGTGGGTGGGTGTAGAGTGCAGGGTCAGGCCCGAGACTGGAGGTGGGTAGAGGCTGACAGTGTAGGGCCGAGTTGTGAAGGTTGAAGCCTGCTTTTAGAACGACAGAACCAATCAAAGGGAGATAGTTACTATATTTTTTTCACTCCTAAGAAAGTCCAAAATGATTAATTTTGATGTGTGTCATTCAGAGGTTTTTAGTACATGGACAGGGTTGTACAGTCATCACCACTATCTAATTCCAGAACATTTTCATCACCCCCAAAAGAAACTCCATTTCCATTAGCAATCATCACTGGCCATCACTAATCTGCTCTCTGACTCTGAGTTTGCCTTTTCTGGACATTCCATTTATAAATGGGATCGTGTAATATGTGGCCTATGGTGTCCGGCTTAATTTACTTTACATAATGCTTCCAAGGTTCATCCAGGTTGCAGCATGTGCCGGAAGTTCTTTCCTTTTTAGGGATGTAGGGATGGCCATACCTTATTTTGTTTGTCTGTTCATCAGTTGATGGACACTTGGGTTTGTTTCCACTTTGGGGCTATTATGAATAATGCTGCTATGAAAATTAATGTTCAAGTTTTTGTATAGATACATGTTTTCATTTCTCTTGAGTAAATACCTAGTCTGGAGTTGCTAAGTCACATGGCAACTCTTTTTAGGAATGGCCGAACTATTTTCCAAAGTGTAGACTGCATTTTGGTCTCCCACCAGCAACTGCTATAGGTTTTAAATAGGGATTGCAGACTCAGATGCCAACAAGATCCAGGACTGTACTGGGCAGCCAGGTATTAGAAGACCAACCCCAAGCTATCCCCCCGTACTTTTGGGAGCAGCCAGAGCCGAGCAGCAGCTACCCTCTTCAGGGGGGTATGACTCTCTGGGCTGCCACAGTCACCATTCTGCCCTAGAGTCTCTCCAACCTTGAGGCTAAGTGGCATTTGCCTCTTATCAACCCTCTGGGCTGTTGCTTTCCTTAAAGTAGAGAGAGATTTCTCTGTAGCTGGGTCTCTATTAAAAGGAAGATAAACTAAGCTAGTCCAAGAGGGTCATGGATTTCAAGGCAAATGGGAGAAGGCGTATTTCCCACTAAGCTGTGTGTGACCTTAGAGCAATAAGTCTGAGGGCCCAGTCAGAATGTGACGTTGTACTGAGGCAGGTGGATCCCAGAGACAGACCACCTGGGCCTCAGGTCTGCCCCTTGGGCAGCCCCCTCACCCTCCAGAGCCAGTTTCCTCCTCTGCACTTTGGGAATATGTGGCCCTGAGGGTGTTAGGCCAGTGCCCGGCGTTTCTAGGTGCGCAGTGAGGACGGGCTATTACTGGGGGGCTGGTTGTTGCCCTCAGGCTGAGAGAGGCAGAGTCTGGGATGCGTGCTCGCTCTCCCCCCAGCTGACCGGGGGCTCCAGGCTCTAGTGTCAGGGGCTTCCTGGGAGCCCACGACTACTCTGCTCTCAAATCAGTGTGTCCCGCTGTAGGGGTGGCTTGGGGACCACGGGGATGATCTCCCAGACCAGGAAAAAATGAACATTTATTGAGCACCTGCTATGATCCCAGGACTTGAGGTGCTTCACTTGGAAGAACTTGCTTCACCCTCACAGCAGCCCCGGGAGGAAGGTCCCATTATTAGTCCTATTTTATAGAGAAAGGGGCTGAGGCACAGAGAGGTGAAGTGATTTGCCAAAGATCACACAGCTAAGAGGCATTGGAGCTGAAATTGTGAACGTCTGTGCTCCCAACTCCTCAGTGCTGGACGCCGGCGCCCTTTCTGGACCGGGCCCTACTTTGAAGCCAGGGAACTTTGCCAGAAGTGTTCAGATGCATCAGAACTCAGTTATATTTTAAAATAATGCAACTTTCCCTTCTCTCTCCTTCCTGCCCTCCTTCCTTCCCTTCCTCTTAATCATAAAAGTAGTTCATTTTCATTGTAGGGAAAATTACACAGAAGTCACCCACACTCCCAGGGATGGTCACGATTAGCTGTCGCCCTCTTTCTGTCCCTCTGCTCCCCTGTCTGTGCAGATGCACATCTGTGTCCTCCCCCATTTCCCCGAAGCAGGTTTCCTGGCCAGGTTTCGGCCTCTCCATGGCTGTGGCCTGGCTGGGCTGCCCTCTCTGGCAGGCGAGTAGGAGGGGGGTCAGACCTCGTGAGCGCGCATTCCTCAGCGTTGCCTCACACCCCCCACCAGATTGGCATTAACGCAGGGAGAGTAAAATTGGAATCGGCTGGAGGAAGGGCCTGCAGGACTTTCTTCTGTCTTACAACCAGATGTGGGGCCAAGCAGGACCAAGGGAAGGTTTCAGGCCCATGGCTCCTTGTCCTCCCCATCCCCCTCCAACATACACACACACGTGCGCGCGCACACACACACACCCCTGATGTGGCTTATTCAGAGTCATTCAGCTCTGCTCCTGCCAGAACCACAGGGCGGCAGCAGCTCAACAATGCCACCATCTTGGGTTCCTTAATGTCTTTTTGCTAAGGATGCATTCATTCATTCATGTATTCATGAGTTGCATTCATTCACTCGTACATGCATAGATTATATGTGTGTGCATCTGTGTGTGTGCTTTCATGCATGCCTCCATCCGTGTGTGTGTGCGTTCATGCCTCCACCATCCAGCTGAACAGGCCCAGGTCTTGGCCTTGTGAACCACCCTGACTCAGCACCTGCTCTTTCAGAACTCACATTCTAGAGGGAGACGGACCGTGAACAAGCAGACAAGACGTTCAGAAGGAGAGGAGGGCTGAGGAGACAGGGAACCTGGTGGCTCCGCTGGCACAGGGGCTGTGTTAGATTAGGTGGTCGGGGGAGGTCTCTCTGTTGGGGGACAGCCGCTGGAGGCTGAGAGACAAGCAGGGTTCAGCCCATCGAGAACAGAGAAGGATGCCGCTGGCTCGGAGCGACCTGGTGCCGAGGCCCTGTGCAGAGTGAGGCCTGGCGCCTTCAAGGAACCGAAAGGTGGCCTGTGCACTGTGTGGGCCAGTGGGCAAGGGCAGGGCTAGAAGCGGTGGGCCTTGCTGGATACGGGGGACCAGGACTTCCCCTCTAGTGACGGCGGGCTCCCTCGTGGGGCCCCGCACTGAGAGGTTTCCTTCCTCTCCCTGGTGCAAGATCTCTTGCATTTTACTGTTGGAACAAGGGAGGCCCGCTGAGGGGGCTTGTCTGAGATGGCACTGGAGTCACCAACTTTGGCGGCCCTCCCAGGTGTGCATGCAGTATGCGCACACACACAAACACATGCACACAACACACAGACACGTGCACACAAACACAGGCATACACAACACACAGGCACAAACACACACAGACACGTGCGCATACGCATGCAAACACACAGGCACACCAGAAGTCACAAACAAGTGCGCTGAGTTTCACTGGGCCTGCACAGTATTTAAAATTGTGGATTTATGGCTAACATTGTTAAAAGCTGGACATTTTTCATAAAATCTAAATGTCTTTTTCTTTTCTTTTTGAAATGATACTATCTGACATTTGTTACGCTCTTAATATGCCCCAGGGACTTAACTGCTGAGCAAGGTTGATATTGTTGTTATTCCCATTTTACAGATAAGAAAACTGAGGATAATAGAAATGAAGTAACTTGCTGAAAGGCACACAACTCGTCAGTGGTAGAACCTGGATTCTAGTCCAGGGAGGCTGATCTCAGCGTTCTCTTTTCTTTTTTCTTTTGAAATTGGAGGTTCTGCACTAGAGGCTGGGAGCTGAGTGAGCCCTGTGGGCCAGGACCCGGCATTCTGGTTCACCCAGCCCCCACTCAGCCTACTTCATCTGCTTGTCACCTGCCTGCCCCTTGGCTTCTAAGTTTAAGACTCCCCAATATCCATCAGCTGTGAAAGAGATCGATTTCTAAAAAGTCCACTTTCCGTGAAGAAGGCTGTTCGACCTGAGTTCCCTCTCGCCACTTCCTGGCTGTGTGACTCTGGGTAGATGGTCCAACCTCTCTGAGCCTCAGTCGCCCTCTTCTGTAAAATAGAGGCTAAACACAGGGCCACTCTGGGGAGAAGGTGAGAGAATATGAGTAGAGGTTGGGCCAGGCCAGGCCGCCATGAGGAGCTGTCAACTGTTAATGTCAGTGTTTCTGAAGGTGCCCACCCAGCTAAGCAGGCCCTGCCTGGACTCGCCAGGACCCCTGGGGCCAGGTGTGAGGGAGGCTTGAGGCAGTGACTGAGGGAGGGCAGCCAGGAGCACAACCCAGTCTGAGCAGATGTAGCATCACCACCGTCCCCTCTCCCACCAGGCCTTTGTCAAGATGGTGGGGCACCACGTCTCCTTCCTGGAAGCCCGTGTGCTTCAGGCCGAGCGGGACCACGGGGCCTTCTCACAGGCCCTGCGGAAGTGGCTGGGCTCCTCGGGGCTCCCCGCCTTCAGGAACGTGAGTATCCCCCCACTCCCTGCCCCCCCAGGCCCTGGAGTGGGGAGAGGGGCTCAGGAAACAGGAGTTCAAAGGGCATGGCTGGCTTCTGCAGACAGGAAGTGGTGTCTGGCTGGCCGGTGGAAGGCTGGCCCAGGTGGCTGGGGCGTCGCAGTCCCTCCCTCCCTCCTTCGCCTCCGCTTGCCCCGAGCTGAGGACCTCGGTACTGTGACTGCCTGCCTGCTCATCCACGTTTATTAAGTGCCTGCTGTTTGCTGAACACTGTGGTCCATCTGGGGGCACCATGTGAGTAGAAAACAGCCCTTGCCCTTCTGTCCTGTCCTTCCATCCCTAAGGACATGCTCAGGGTGACTTCCAGAATTCAGACAGGGCCCCACTTCCTAAGGCAGGAGTCAGCCTCCAGCAGAGCAGGGTGGTGGGGGATGGATGGTGGAGGGGAACCCAGCCTGCAGCCTGTAAAAGCCTCTCCCTCCCACGTCCCTGGTTTCCTGGGATCCTCCCTACATCCCCATAAGAAAGAAAGGATAATTGTGTCACTTTTACTGATAGAAATACTGAGGCCAGACTGATCCTGTGATGGGGACCCTCGATGTTTAAGACGCCTCTGTCTTTCCAGCTTACTATCTATTGATTCCCTGCTGAGGGGGCTTTGGGCAGTACCTGGAGATATTTTGATGGTCACAACTGGAGTCAAGTGGGTAGAAACCAAGGGTGCTATTAAACATCCTGCAGTGTACAGGACAGCCCCCCACAATAGAGAATTATCTAGCCCTGTGTGTCTGTAGTCCTGAGTTTGGGGAACCCTGCCCTAAACGGGATTTGATCATTGTAATGGTTTATGTCAGGTCTGTTCGCAGTGCTTTATGTGTTGTTGTATGTGGCATCTAATTCTCACGCCAGTCCTTGGAGGAAGGTACGTTATTATCACCCCATTTTACAGACAGGAAACTGAGGTTCAGGATGGTCAAGGGGCTTGTCGAGGCCATGCAGCCTGGAGTGACAGGATCAGGTGGGAGCCCTGGTTGACCTATCTCCTGGGACTTGGCCTTCACAGGAAAGAGATCTTGTCCAGCAGCTGCTCTGTCCTGCCCCCCAGCAGGGTCTCTCACTGTCCCCTGGGCTCTGCCTGTGGGTCCCCTTCTTCTCCTCTGTTTTCTCTGTCCCTCCTGCCTGCCCCCCTCCCCACCTCAACGTCTCCACTTAGTGTTATCACAGAGGCTCATTTACTGAGTGTTCACAGTGTTCCAGGCACTGCTGAGGCATTGCATGTGCATCGATTCATTCACCTCTCCCAGCTGTCGTGTGCACTCAGTATGACCCTTCTCCCCACTGGCAGATGAGGAAGTAGAAGGAGTTGTATGTAGTCTTGCCACTTTGGCCCCGTGTGAATTTATTCTGTTTGGCCAGGGATGCCTGACTGGACATCACTCTCCAGTCCCTGCCAGGACCCCACTGCTCCATCTTCTCTCACACCTTCCTGAGGCATGCACTACTTATCTGCTTGCCTCCAGGTGAGTGACTTGCCCAAGGCCAGAAACAGCTAGACGTGGCCTCACAGATCCCACGGTCTGGGAACTCCTATTGATCCTTTAGAGTACAAGTTAATGCCCCCTCCTTTGAGAAGCCCTCCCAGATTGCCCCCTTCTGCAAACAAATGCAATCTCTCCTGCCTGCCTTCCAAGAACAGTGAAGTCAGGAGCTGCCTCCATGGTTCCTCAAGTTATGGTGACTGTTCTGGGTGACCAGAAGCCCCCAGTCACACTGTGTTTTGCCTACTGATGGCTTAGAAGCACCATGGGGGAGGAAGGACAGAGGACTTCACTTGCCCATGGTCAACAAGTTTCCTAACAGTGGGGTCTGGTGGGTCCTTGGTCTCTGCACTTTACAGTCTTTTCCTATAATCTGCACAATTGTCCCCTTGTGGTTGGCACTAGTGTCCCCATTTAATTGGCAGAGACCAAAGCTTGGAGGGGAGACTCATGCATCCAAGGTCAGTGCTGGGGTTGGAACTCAGGCTGTGAACTGGGGCTCCCCCGCCCACTTCTGCTGCAGGATCCCACTGGGGTGTGGCCGGGCTTGCTGGGACCTGCACCCTTGTCTCTACCAGACTTGGGGCCCCCCAGGCCTACCTGCGGTGACTTGTTCCAGGAAACGCGTCCCAGCCAGGGTGGTGAGTCATTCAGCAACCCCAGCATGTTGATCTTGGCCCCAGGAGGGCTTTGTCTGGAGCAGGCGATGGAGGCAAGTGTGCACACACACATGTGCAGACCCAAGGGGTTCCAGGGTCGCACCTGCACCCAGGGTGCAAGCTGGAGTGGGGGGCTTCTAGAATAATGGTCATCACAGCTTGTGTTGGGGCCCTGACTCGGCAGGCACCTCATACCTTGTGAGGTAGGTTGAGTCACTGCCCCTATTTTACAGGTAAGAAAACTGAGGCACCAAAGGGTTGAACTGCTTACCACCAGTGGTGGAGCTGGGATTTGAACCTGTGAGGCCCGGGCTCAGCGCTGGGCACCACTTGGCCCTGCTGGGTCTTTCTGGGCCTGGTTCTGACCCCTGGAGCTGAGATCTGGGCAGAGGGGCGGGGAGGTCTTTGCAGAGTACCCGGATGGTTCACTGTTTCTTCCATCTGGATTTCCCGCCAAGCCAGGATTTCAGTCTCCAGTTGGTTCCCCTCAGTGCCCATCCGAGGGGGACTTTGCTTCATTGACCACTGCGGTCACCCTCCGGGAGCCCACACCAGGTACCCGCAGCAGTGAGAAGCCCTCCACACAAGCCCAGATTCTGCTGCCTTGCCCCACCTCGCCCCACTCTGTCTCCAGGAGCTGGCGTGGGGCAGGGGTTCTTGAGCCAAGGGGTCCCCACTCCCTTGGAAGCCCATCCCCCAAAGGAAATAGGCCACTCATTGCTGCCCCCCAGGCCCTCCCAGAGTCGGGGGGTTGGTGGGAACTCCCTCATGGGGCCTAGGAGGGGAGGCCTGCAGCCTTCAACCCTGCAGCTTCACCCCGGAGAGGTCTGTAGGGGTCTGTTTCCACCTTCCCCCTTCCACCAGCCAGAACAGGAGTTTCTGGAGGGGCGGGCAAGGTGGGGAAAAAGTTGGTTCTTGTTTTCTCTGACTGCTATCCCATCTCCCCTTCTGGCCTGCATTCTGCCTCTCTCCTCTTCCTCACTTTGCAGATGCAGTGGGGAGGGCACGGGGCACTTGGGGTGGGTCTCCCAGCCCACCCACTCCACCCCCCCAAGACCTGCCCCTGCCTGTGCAGCTTGGTGCTGGCTGAGGCCTGGGCCGGCCTGAAGTGTCCCTCCTCGGGACGACCTCCCCTTGAAGGCCAGGCCATTTGCCTCTGACTTGAACTCCTGGAGAATCACACAGTCAGTGTCCGGACTGAAATGAGGGCTGGCCTGGTATCCTGAGCCCTCGGTGCCCAGATCCCAAAACGTATACATTTCGTGCTGCAGTGTGAGTGCTTATGCACCTGCTTTCAGAGGGCGACGGCCCGCGGTTCCGTGCTGCGCTACGTCAGCATTTTCACTTACACTTTTACATCGACTCTTAAAGCGTCCCAGGACTGTAACTCTGTTTCACTGTGGCGTTTTTCAGCTGTGTGACCGTGGGTGAGTCTCTTAGCCTCGGAGGCCTTCGACAGCTTAACTGTCAGCCCACATGGCCTTGATCATGAAAGGCTTTTCTTGCTAGAAAACTGGTTTCGATTTGATGCAAAATGATGAGGGCCTCCTCCGTTAAAGTAGTGGGAAGGGAAAGAGGAGAAAGACCCCAGAACTCTCAGAGGGGAGGTTCTGAGCGTTGGTGGGTCTGAAAAGCCAGGTTTGCCTTTATTTATTTTTTAATGGTGGTACTGGGGATTGAACCCAGGACCTCATTCATGTCAAGCATACACTCTGTTACCCAGCTGTAATCCTCCTCCAGGTCTGCCTTTAAGTAATGATTTGGGACAGACTCAGCAGTGAACAGGTATCCTGGCAGTGGTGACAGAGCCAGCCAGGCACTGTTCTCAACTCTCAGCAACCCCTGGGGGAGGTGCTAGTTTTATCCCTATTTTACAGGTGAAGGAACTGAGGCACAGAGAGGTTTAGTAACTTACCTGAGGCCACACAGCTGGGCATTAGGATATGAACTCCCGTTCTTAACCCTCTCCAATATTGGGAGATCACAGCCTTGGGACAGAGCTGTGAACTTTACTTCAGGAAGCTTGGATCCAGTGGGAAAATAGAGACAGTAACCAAATCCTACAAAAATCCAGTAGTCCATCATTTCTAAAGGGGACTCCCTGGCTTGCTCTGAGGGAGTTAGGGAGGGCCTCCGAGAAAGGGCCACGTACGCCAAGACCTTCATGGTGAGTGTCATCTGAGGTTAGAAGAAAGGGTGCTCCCAGCAGTGGGGACTGCAAACTCAAAGGCTCTGTGGTGGGACTGAGCTTGGTGCTGGAGGGATTGTGGAAGTCTGGCTTGGGGAGTGAGCTGGGGAGTGTGTGGGAGATGAGGGCAGGGCCAGATTGGGTGGGTGGGGTCTCAGGCCACACAGACGAACTTAGCACTATGTGAAGGGTAATGGGGAGCAATGGAGGGGTTCGTAGCACGGGAGTGACTTGGTAAATTCACTTTGCTTAGAGAATTGCCTCTCTCCTGAGCTAAGGCTGGCATTCAGGGTCAGCGATGTCTTGTTTAGACTTGACCGTGAGAGCGGAGCAAGGCGTGTGGGTGCCCTCCAAGCTTCAGAGTTCAGCTGTTAGGAGTGCATTTCCTGGAAACATCTCATGCTGTACCTTGGGCTCACTGGAATCCTCGCCTCACTGGGTCTCAGGGCCTTCATCAACTGGAAGAGAGGGAAGAGGCTCCAACTGGGGCGTCCAGGTCTCTTGGCGCATGTCTGGGTCCCAGAGACCCTGCCTGAGGAGGCGGCTCCGTGTCTGCACGCAGAGGGCCCCTCACATCTGGAGGTCATTTCAGGCAGCTGTGGAAGTGAAAGTGCGATCGAGCTG